TTTTTGTGTGTCCTTCCGATGGAGCGAGGAGGCCGAAAATATCTTTCAGTTCCACAGGACACGTACCACGTCGAATGTGCCAATAAGAAACCCTTGCACTACACACACACTGGGCTATTAGGTTAACGAGGACACAAGGATTAGAGAAAAAAACATTAGAATTGACAGGAGAAGGGCCCGATGCAAAAGAAATAAACTGTACTAAGGTTAAAAGCTGGGCTAGTTGGTGATCGTTGTACATAATGGAATAAAACAGCGCGAAGATAGAAATAGGAAGAGACACACCAGACAGGACAGAGCGCTGACTCGCAACAACGGCTTCTTTACTCAACGAAAAAGAGAAAGACAAAGAGAAGGAAAAAAGATAAAAATATACAGGAAAAGAAGAAAAAAAAAAGAAGAAAAAAGACATTACTGTACGCAATCACACGCGCACCTTTCACCCATGATAGCTGACTACGGCACGTGCTGGACCCTCATTGTCAACTTCAGGAATTCCAGCTCCTTGCCTGACAACGCCACTGATGCTGCGCTGATACACTTTTTTCCCCTCCTCTGAATTTTTTTTTCTTCTTTTCCTGTATATTTTTATCTTTTTTTCCTTCTCTTTGTCTTTCTCTTTTTCGTTGAGTAAAGAAGCCGTAGTTGCGAGTCAGCGCTCTGCCCTGTCTGGTGTGTCTCTTCCTATTTCTATCTTCGCGCTGTTTTATTCCATTATGTACAACGATCACCAACTAGCCCAGCTTTCAACCTTAGTGTAGGATTCAGAGCCTACCTCTCAAACCCTGTGAGGCGGAGCTCAGTAAAAGACATCCGACACCGACGGCTGCTCGTGAAGAACTCCCCCTTTACTTCTTCTAAAGAACACGCACGCCCCTCTACACTAAGAGGGCGCCACTAGCTGGACAAATAGCGACCACTACATCTCCCCTTCTTAGAGGCTGCGTTTTCGCTAAATAGTTCTTGCGGCGAAACGCACCCACTTATTGTTCACAATAACCCCATCAACTGCAACGTTTTCAAACTGTCCGCCGTTACAAGTCTAAACGCCTGGGGCGGGTCACGGCTCGTCCGCTGCGAGTCCGATAGGGACTTGTCGACACAGGCGGCCCTCTTGGGTCACTACTAATGTTCTGCTGAGCCGCTATTGGGCTTGGCGGCACACCGTCAGCTGCGGGTGGTTCAACCGGCGGCCTTGGGGTTGCAAAAGGAACCAGTCCCCTGCGGTTGCGCTGAAGGACCGCTCCGCTGTGGTCAACTTCCACCAGATAGCTGCGGGGACGCTGTCCTGGGCTGAGCACCGTGGCCGGACACTGTTCCGACTGTACCCACACTCTTTCTCCAAGACGAAGAGGAGGCAGCTCGCGGGCAGCATGCCGCTGGTTGAAGGCCTGAGCTTGTTTCCGTTTATACAACTCATTCCTCCTCGCCACGCGAGCGGGCGATGGTGGCCGCGGAAGACTTTCATCTTGAGTCCTAGGAAGCCGTGTCCTCAACGGACGCCCGAACAGAAGTTGTGCGGGGCTGTCTCCAGAAACACCGGGGGTGTCTCGGTAGCTCAACAGTGCCAAGTATGGATCCTCAGCTTTGGTTAAGAGTTCCTTGATGGTGCGGACGGCTCGCTCCGCTTCGCCGTTAGATTGTGGGAACCTGGGGCTACTTGTTTGGTGCTGGAAACCATAATCTTTTGCAAACTTCGCAAAATCCCCCGATGCAAACTGCGGGCCGTTATCCGTTCTTACAGATCGCGGGATACCATGCCGAGCGAAGGCTGACTTCATTGCCGCGATCGTAGCTCCACTCGAAGTGCTGCTTAACGTCAAGACTTCCGGGTACCTCGAGTGATAGTCCACAATAACGATGAAGTCCTGCTTCTTCCAATGAAACAGGTCGGCACCGACGACGTCCCATGGGCGAGTAGGAAAGCTGGACGATATGAAAGGTTCTGCCGGCTGCACTCTTGTCTTGGCACATTGCTCACAGCCGCTCACCAGGGAAGTGATCTGTGCATTGATGCCTGGCCACCAGACAGAGTCGCGAGCACGAGCCTTGCACTTGACAACTCCTTGGTGACCTTCATGTATAAGCCTCAGTATTGCCTGTCTTAAGTCGGCCGGTATGAGGAGCCTCGGGCCCTTGAGGAGAATTCCTTTGCACAGCGACAGCTCGCCTCGGACAGACCAATACTTGGACAAATTGACGGGCAGCTTGTGCTTCGTCGGCCATCCAACCTCGCAATAGCGTTTGAGTGCACAGCACTCTCCGTCAGACTGTTGCGCAGCTTGGACTTCCTCGGGGAGGAGTGGAAGGTCAACAGACGTGTCTTCCAGTGCTGCAATTGCAAATGTGTCAAGGGAGTCCTTGCCCTTGTCTTCAGACCCCATTCTCTGGGGAGCTCTGGAGAGTGTGTCCGCTGTTGCCAGTAGTTTTCCCGGCACATACAGCATGCGAAATTGGTACTGCATCAGCTTTAAACGAAGGCGTTGGATGCGAGGAGGCAACATGTCTAACTCCATCTTGCCGAAGAGAGATACCAGGGGCATATGGTCGGTCTCCACACTGAGCTGCAAACCACGTACGAACTCGTCAAAACGTCGTACAGCCCACACCGCTGCCAGAGCCTCCTTCTCTGTTTGGCTATAGTGCATCTCTGTCGGGGTCATGGCCCTAGATGCGAAGGCCACCGCCCTCCTTTCTCCCGAAGGTTGGTCTTGAAGGAGTACGGCACCGATACCGAAGGAGCTGGCATCTGCCGAAACTGTTGTGGGGTACACTGGGTTGTACTTGGCGAGACAGCAGTCTGAACTCAAGAGGTTCTTCACCCGTAGGAATGCAGCCGCCTGCTCAGGACCCCAGGCCCATACGGTGCTCTTCGACAAAAGTGCTCGGAGAGGAGCGGTGACTTCGGAGATGTGCGGCACGAAACGCGCAACATGGTTTACCATGCCAAGTAGCCTTCGGACCCCTGCAACATCCTCAGGCCTTTCCATCGCCTGGACAGCCTGAATCTTGCTAGGATCCGGCTTCACACCTTCTGCTGATACGACGACTCCAAGGAAGCTGACTTCGGACACTCCGAACACGCACTTGTCTTTGTTGAGAGTGATGCCAGCCTTCGATAGTCGGGAAAGTACCTGGTTGAGCCGCGCGTCATGTTCTTCGCGCGTCCGTCCAAAGACAAGAATGTCGTCAATCATGTTGACGCACCCGACCTGTCCTTCCAGTATGCGCGCCATCTGCTTCTGAAAGTACTCTGGTGCCGACGTAAGTCCAAAAGGCAGACGACAGAAGCAGAAGCGGCCAAAGGGAGTAATGAAAGTGGTGTACTCCTGACTTTCCTTGGCAAGTTTCACCTGGTGAAATCCGGAATTTGCGTCCAACTTGGAGTAAACAGTCGCTTCTCCCAGAAGTCCGAGAACTTGGTCCACCGTAGGGAGCATGTGCCGTTCTCGAAGGACGACCTTGTTGAGCTTCGTAAGGTCAACGCAGAGACGGTGACCACCAGAAGCCTTCGGAACGACGACTATTCCTGCACACCATGGGGTGGGGCCTTCAACCCGACGAATGACGCCCTGTCGCTCGAGCTTCTCCAGTTCCGTCCTCACGACCTCTCGTAAGGGAATGGGTATACGACGAGGTACACTCAAAGAGAAAGGAGTGGCTTTGGATTCTAGCCGGATCGTGTACTCGTCGGGTAGCGTACCCAGACCTGTGAAGAGCTCAGTGAAGCCTGGGTTGACGGCAGGCTTGGCTGCAGAATCGAGGAACTTGATGACCTGAAGGTCCTGTATGGCAGAGAAGCCCAGCAAAGGAGTACCGAGAGACTGGATAACATACACCTGCTGCTTGGAAGATCTGCCGTTCCACCACAGCGTCGATGAGAAAGAACCCAGCACTTTAAGCGGGTGGTTGCCCGGTCCATGAATGGCGTTTTCCACCTTTGACAAACGCTTGGGAATCCGAGGGAAATCATCTGGAACAGCCGTCACCTCGGCTCCCGAGTCCACTTTGAAGGACACTGTATAGTTGTTCACGGTGACGTCAATATACTTAGCCTTCTCTCCGGCGTCGACTACAGAAAGCTGTAGAGTGCCTACTTTGGCTTGCTTTTTCATGCGGGAGAGACAGACCTCTGCGAAGTGGCCTTGCTTACGGCAAAAGTTACACTTCGATTTGCGTGCGGGACAGTCCTCACGAGGATGCGGTGAACGTCCGCAGAATAAACAAGAACCAGGCCTGCCCGTAGAGACGCGAGACGACTGGTCGTGAGCAGCGTTGGTGGCGTTAGGCTTAGTGCCGCGCCGCTTGAGACGACCTGCGAGCTTGGTCGCGTCAAGATTGACACCTTGACCTCCTGGAGTTTCAGATTGACCCGTGCTTGCCTTGGTTGCCTTTTCTTTGTCGGCGTCTTCGGCTTGGCGCGCTTGTACCCACGCGTCTTTGAGCGTGAGCTTTGGGTTACGTCCAAGACGGTCAGACAGCTGAGAGTCCCACTTCTGACACCATGTAGGATTCAGAGCCTACCTCTCAAACCCTGTGAGGCGGAGCTCAGTAAAAGACATCCGACACCGACGGCTGCTCGTGAAGAACTCCCCCTTTACTTCTTCTAAAGAACACGCACGCCCCTCTACACTAAGAGGGCGCCACTAGCTGGACAAATAGCGACCACTACACTTAGTACAGTTTATTTCTTTTGCATCGGGCGCTTCTCCTGTCAATTATAATGTTTTTTCTCTAATCCTTGTGTCCTCGTTAACCTAATAGCCCAGTGTGTGTGTAGTGCAAGGGTTTCTTCTTGGCACATTCGACGTGGTACGTGTCCTGTGGAACTGAAAGGGATTTTCGGCCTCCTCGCTCCATCGGAAGGACACACAAAAAGGGTGTGTCGTGTTTTAAGATCCGAGTACTGGCGCCAGGAAAGATTCTTCCGAGACTGCCTGAGAGTAGCCTGTGCCTCCGCAAAGGAAAACCCTGCCAATTCACGAAGGTTCTACCATGAGATGAACAAGAGAGCAAGGGATGCCACGGAGTTCTTGTGGCAGAGAATCCGGCCACAACTTCCAAAGAAGAAGGACCTGATGACTCCGTCGACCCGCGGATACACAACATTGGGTGAAGCCGAGATTCCTCCAGAAATTGGCAAGCCGTTAGAGCTGGGTCCCAAGTTCTGCTTCGAGCCGGTCCTAAGCCCTCCCGAGTTGGTGACTCTGGCCAAGAACGTAGCAGAGAAGGCGACGGAAGGCGACAGGCCAAGGTGCATTCACGAGTGTGTGGAAGTTCTTCAATCACCAAGAAGAAGAGGACAGGTTTGTCCAATTACCACTTTGGTGGATTTCATGGTAGACAGTGACCTACGTGTCATGTTATCCGACAAAGAGGGTCAGTTTGTTGTGTTACCAAAGGGCATGTTCAATGAAAAGGCAAACGCGGCCATTGAGAAAAATTTCAGACCGGTCAATGTGGATCTGAAGAAACTTCGAGACAGGGCAAAAGGACTTTGTGATCGCCTGGCGTTAACTCAGCTGGCGGTGAGAGTAGGAAAAGCGGAGAATGTACACCTGCAAGCGTTTTTCAGCGCCAAAACCCATAAAGAAGGGTGCCCGTTTCGAGCCATTGTCACGGAAAAGGGATCGTGGCAAAGGCAGGTGGCCTCCTACCTACAAAAACAGTTATCCTCATTGAATATCAAGGACCATTTTAGGGTTTTCAATTCTTTGGAGCTTGTAGAGTACTTCGAAGCAGAGGGTCCAGAGATGAGGCACGCATGTAGTATAGACGTGGAAGATCTTTTTTACTCCATGCCGCACGACAGATTGCTGGAAGCAGTGAAAGGGTGCATCGAAGCCAATGGAGAACTGGCTTTTAGGAGTTCTAGTGGAGTATCCCTGGAAAGCTTTTTGGAGTTGTTGTTATTCTATCTGCAGTCAATGGTAGTCGGGTGGCAGGAAGGGTGCTACCGGCAAAAGTCGGGTGTGTGTATCGGCTCTTGCGTAGCCCCCGTCTTAAGGGACATTTACCTCGGTGAAGTGGACTGTGGCATTGAAAGAGAGCTAGGCGGCACGAGTATTATCAAGATAATTCGCTATGTGGATGACTTTTTGGTGTTTTTCAGAAGATCTGGAACATTGGAAGCGTTGGTTGACACAGTGGTGGCGGTATTCGAGAAGTGTGGGGGAGGCCTTAGGTTTACTTTTGAGGTCCCAAAAGAAGGGGTACTCCAGTACCTGGACCTTTCTCTGCGCATAGGAGACTCGCGTGTCTGCTGGACCTATCGTCCACGATCCAAGAAAGGCATCCTCGACTGGAGGTCGGCCCACTCGAAGGTTGTGAAGAGGGGCATCGTTACATCTTGTCTGAGCGCAGCACTCAAAAAATCTTTCCTCCACACTTTGGGGGAGAGCTTTAGGATACAGACAGAAAGACTGAGGAAAGCTGACTATCCGACGACACTACTTTCAGACGTCGCAAGCAAACTGCTGAAGAAAGTAAAGGGTACCCAGTCTACACAACGGGATGTGGATCGCAAGCGACCTGTAGTTATCCCGTACTTACACAGGATCTCTCACAATTTAAAAAATGTTGGAAAAAGATATGGAATCCCAGTGGTTTTCTCCGCACCAGAAAAAATGAGCCAGATCTGCCCCAGAGTTCATGCGAAGGCAGAGGGAATCGCCAGAAACAAGTGTAGCAAGAAGCACGCCAGGCCGTTCGTCCCATGTGCCACGGGAGTAGTCTACAGTATCCCCCTCTCGTGCGGCTCCACCTACGTGGGACATACGCGACGGTGCTTGAATGAAAGGCTCCGCGAGCACAGGTACTCCCTCGGAGCGACAGTGGGAGGACACCTATCGGTTCACTGTAAAGAGTGCCTGTGCGAGCCGTCTTTTAGTGCCACCACCATCTTGGGACGACACAGGGACAAAGTGACACGCGAGGTGCTGGAGGCCTTCCACATTCAGAGGAGGGGAAAAAAGTGTATCAGCGCAGCATCAGTGGCGTTGTCAGGCAAGGAGCTGGAATTCCTGAAGTTGAAAATGAGGGTCCAGCACGTGCCGTAGTCAGCTACCATGGGTGAAAGGTGCACGTGTGATTGCGTACAGTAATGTCTTTTTTTTTTTTTCTTCTTTTCCTGTATATTTTTATCTTTTTTCCTTCTCTTTGTCTTTCTCTTTTTCGTGGAGTAAAGAAGCCGTAGTTGCGAGTCAGCGCTCTGTCCTGTCTGGTGTGTCTCTTCCTATTTCTATCTTCGCGCTGTTTTATTCCATTATGTACAACTCATAGTAGCTTGAGTTCTGATACAATATTGATGTGAAACGAAGGTACATTTTTTAATACTGCGACTACCACCCTACCACCCTCTCTTTCGTCCCTGTTGAAATGTTGAAATATTTCTGACATTTCAAAATTTCAAAGTTGCGTAGTTTGCTGGACAACCATGTACCGCTTAACACAACAATGTCCGCGTTAGAAGTATTCACAATTGAGGACAGATCATCCCGTTTGTTCATATTGTTTCTAATGTTTACAAAAGAACAGAAGTATTATTTTTAGGCCATTTGTTGCTATTAGCACCCTCACCCCTCCTAGAACGCCATGATGAAGCTGAAGCTTGATGAGGATATACGACGTCCCATTCAGGTGGGGCAAGATCTGGTTGAAGAGTGGGAGCACGGTTAATTATTCCGGCGTTAAGTCCAGGTAAATTAAGTTTTGGCTCGCGGGAGTTCAATTCGCTGACCCAGTCTCTTTGAGGCACAAAGATATAGCACTTATTTCCACTGCGCAATTTTGTAAACTGCGGTTTTGTAAACTCTAGTAGCCTTCACCGCGGAAGGCGCACAGAGGGTATCAAATCCTCACTCACGGAAAAGGGTGTTCCTTTGAATCTGTAGGCTTTAGAAATTACGGTCTCTTTATATTTGTACGAAAACATTTTTGCAATCATTGGGTGACATGTTTGCTGAGTATAGATACCAAGACGATGCGCCCTTTTAATACACGACGTTGCAAGTTCATTTCCTAACTTCTCGAGACACTCGTCTACAGCTGTATTTTTCGGCTTCGCCCAGGTTTCCTTTGTCCTTATCGGGAAAGCCAAAAAAAAAAAAAAGCTTTTGATCTGCGCGTTCTGCTTTCTGCGTCATCGCAGCGTGCCATGAGCTCCGTTATCTTGATCGCTGCTGCGGCTATCTATGGGAAGAGCCGACGTCGCTGTTAACGCTGACTGCTTTCACCGTAGAAACGTTCCTTTCTAACTGATTTACGCGTGCTGTGAGATTACTTAGGGATTCCTCGGTGGAATGCTGTTTAGCCTTTAGGTCTTACTTCCTGGAGGATGTCGGTTTGCCCGCTCTGAAGCGTCACAGCCATTTCGTAAAATTTGTTGAGTAACTCTTCTTGGAGTTTGGACGTGGTTCCAGGGTTAGTTTCAATATCCCCACCGAGTAGTAGAAGCAGCCCATATTTTACAATTTTGACATATGTAGGAACAACGCAATACATTTCTAAACGTTCAAGATACATCGCAAAGCGTGACTTGGGGCATGGCACCACAAACAAAAAAACAAGAAATAATTGCTTTTGAATTCAAAGCGCTTTACTTTACTAACCTTCAACCAAACGACAAAAAACTTAGGCATCATGATCCAGCAGTTGCTGTCGGGCACACTGGCAAAGTTGAAGGATGCAGCAGCTTTTCTACCCTGTGGTCCCGAGGTCGAAGTGGCTCTTGATCATAACTGGTTGGGTCCGAACGTAAACTGCGCCATAGGGGACACGTGTTGCCCAGTCTACGAGGCGTCTCAGTGATAACGAAAACTTGTTTACGAGTGTAACTGTTCATGCCGCCGATGAAACATTACCTCCGATGACGGTGTTGACGTTATCCGATAGCGATGGACAGGACTGCACCAGGAAGCTAAACAGCAGCTGCAACGAAACGAGAAAACACTTAGGCGTCCTGATCCGCCAGTTGCTGTCAGGCCCACATCCTCATCATCATTTTTTATATTAATCTGTAAAATGCTATCTAATCAGCGTCGGACGCAGCGCTGCGGGTCTTCATGGTACGGGCTACTTACCCTTCTTCGTCGCCGCGGCTTACCTGAGCCGTAAAAAATATCTATTTACAGATCTCTATTTCTATCCATATATTAGTAATTTCGAAATGAATGATTCATTGCGCACAGATTCATGTGTTTATTTGCCACTTGAAAACACGGACAATATGTCTCAGTAGAAATCGGCACGAGGGAATCGTAACAATGGCAGTATGTACACGGTTATAATTTCTTGCAAAGCTGCACGCTTCGTAATAATGTAAATAGGTTGAGGTAATTTAAATATGTTGATTTGATGTAAATATGTTGAACCTCTTTACATTGATGTAAATATGTTATGCTTTTAGACTGCCCCATTCAGTGCTCATGAAACTTATACGGAACACACGAATGGTGTGTTTTCTCTGGCATCACTACTTTGTAGGGAGTTTAACCATGGCTCATTCACGTAACAGTTGCGCATGTCCTGTTGAGTGCCACGTAACGAAACCTTTGCTCGGCTGCCACCAGGATAGCTTTGACATGAGAAAGGCACAGTTTGTGTGTTCTGTATACGGATAGCAAGTCGTCTGCTTCTTGTGTAGGAGTTGCGGTGATGTCAGATCGACGCCGAGCTCTGATTGACTTTCATTGAGAGGATAGTGTGTAGAACTCATGGTTAGGTGCCCTGAGGTCTACCCACTAGTTTCTTTAATAGCCAATCAGAGTTCGGTGTTCTGATATCATCGCAACCCCCCTGCAAGAAGCAGACAAACTTTCAGTCTGTATAAACTCGGTGAGCACTGAACTCCGGTTGCCAGTTACACATTCCTAATGGGCAATTCCAATCGTGCTCTTCATGAGAAAAGATGGGCCAGTGAGAATTGGCCGACACTGTGCTGTTGGGCTTCCACAGAAGACCACGAAGGGGAGGAAATGAATATCACATTAAAACAAGAAGCTACCAGAGATGCTCTGGGTCATTAATGAATATTAACACAGCCACCTTGGAATTAGACGAAATTCTCTTTGTAACATCAAACAGTAGCCTCTTCCAGAAATCCGGTTCGTGGCTTCGCCGCACTTATATGTTTATCTCGCAATCCTCCGGAAGAAAGCGGTCGAAAGAGACGTGACCCACGCGTGCGCTGGTGTCGTCCGGACCATCGAGGCCAATGGCTCGAAGCCACATGATCCTACGATGTGGCTCGCGCGGCAGGTTATGAAACCGTATGTCGTCTGCGCTACTGCATGTCTTGCCAGCAATGTCTCACAATACGTACGATTGGCATTGCGGGCGCTGACACGCTGACACAACACACGCGAACAACGCTAAACACGAACCAGAACCTAAACATTCCACGAAAAGAGGATGAGGAGCCGAAAAACGAAAAGCAGCCGAGCAGCAAAGAGAGCCACCGCAGCCACTGTTGCAATGGTTACCAAGCGGCAGAAAACCCGTTGGTAGTTGAAAACGAAACCGAATTGCAATCACGTGATGCGTTATCATGTACATAATAGGAGCATCAAGAAATTATCATTTGTTTTAATTATTTTCAATTTCTTGTTTGAACACTAAATAAATTTGAATATCTGTTCCATTTGAATTGTTTCCTATTCTGACTTTTTGCTGCCTCTGGTTCCCACGCAGTGTCGTTTGGTCATTTCAGAATCCTCCACACATTTGAATTGTAGACACGGTTTGTAAACCTCAGGCGCAATATTTTGCCTCAATACTTAGGAAACAAATCTTGTGCTTTAATGAATATAAGAAAATTAAGGTGAGGTCGATACATTTTCTTTTCATGACCTCTTTAAATTCCACACCTCTCCGGGCTATTTTTTTTTCGCCGCTTAGCAACAAAGCGAACCAACATAAATACAGGATCCAAAGTTTATCGACGCGGTATGTACCCTCAATAATTGTCAAGTAAACTAGTGTAATTTGTTAGCACATATACCTTACACTAAACTTAATTTAGAGTGAAATTAAAATGCGTTTAAGATTCATTTATACATAGAAAAGTATTTTATAATTATACTTCAATCCTTTATTTTAGTGCGTTGATAGTAGTCTGAATACAATTGAGGTTTGCCAACAAGTACATGCACCAATTTTGTATTCACAAGTGATCTTTCAGTGCTCTCTACAAGTACACGCTGTGTACAGTTAAAGTGTATACCCTGAGTAGGCTGCATACAAAAGTATAGTATTTAAATACTCAGTATACTTTTAGTGTGTTACTGTTTTTACCAAGGACACTTAAATGTATCCAGCATCACCTCACAAAAAAACGCAGCAAGCTACCTTTTTCAACAATAACTGTATTTAGACTCAGTATGTATTTTTCAGTCTCAAGAACTTATCGCTTCGATTTTGGTAAGTAAGATGCGATGATCGTTTGGCGGCAAAAGGCCATTGTACTTCCTAACTTTTTTTTTTAGCTTGATGTAAACATTTTGGGAAGAGAGAACAACTGTGTATGGCTGGGCTTAAGAGGAACATCCTTAGAGTCAACAGTTCTCGTCTAATCCCCTAACACCAAAAGTCTCGCTAAGGCGAGAAAGAAAAAGAACAGCACTTGTTGTTGAACCAGCGTACAGTACGCATTCTTTTTTGGAAAGGATTACGATTAGTCGTTCGATGTGACTAAGTGCACGTTCTTTATTGTCCCAACCGTCGTGTGCAAGGCAGGGAAACTAAGTCTACACGTCATCATTAGTCTAATGTGCAAATAACTAAAACCGTGCAGTGCAGCCAAAGCTACAGGGGAGAGAGCGTATGCCAACCTTTTCAAGAGGATGGAAAGGAGGAACTGGAAAGAAGGGCTGGGATTTCCCCGTTTCTTCTCCCGGTTTTAGTGAGCCGGAGTATAGGTACAAATGCTATGGCCATTATTGAAAGGGTATGTTTGTAGATGTTTTCTTTCATTATAATTCGAGCAAACAAACAAAAAAAACATAAAAACTCGGTAACCGCCATTTTGAGGTATACTATA